CCCAAACCCCTCCTGTGGGCTGGCTGCCGAGGAAGCAGTAGGTCCCCTCCCCCCACAGCCTGAAACACCGTGTCCGGCTGCCAGTCTGACGCCCTGCTTCCTCCTTCCTCGGCCCTTCTCCCTAAGGTGGCCTCCCCACCCCTGCCTTGGAATGGAGAAGTAGGCAGGGGGAGGCCACCCAGGCATGAGATCTGGGGGCGGGGAGAGTGGATATTTCCAGAGCTACGGGTTGTGGCCAAGGGCAAGGCCAGCCTAGAAGTTGTGTCCTGCTGTCACTCAGCAGCCCGACCCAACCCGTCTCCCAGGCCAAGGGGACAGAGAGGTGGGGGGAGGGGGGCTGGGACCTCTGCCTCAGCAGCGTGGCAGGGGAGCCCCAAGAGGACCTGGAAGCAAGGCCCCATTTAAAGCAGAAATGCAAAGGCCTGGGGCATGGAGGGGTGTAGCCTGACCCATCCCATCATCCCTGAATTCTACACACCGACAGACAGACCTTTGTTCTCTTGTAGGAAGAAGCCACATCCTCCTGCCTCAGGGCCTTTGCACATGCTGTTCTGTCTACTTGGAATACTTTTCCTTTCTTCTTCTCACCCCTCTTTATCCTTCAGGTCTGGGTTCACATGATACTTTCTCAGAGAGGCTTCCCTCCCTGCTCCTTACACCCTGGGCTTCTTCCCCTAGGCCTTCCAGAGCATAATGACATATTTGCAGTCATTTGAGGCCTCTGACCTCCCCATCAGCCTGTATGTCCCATGTGGGCAGGATTTGCCTTAACCACTGTTGTATCCTCACACGGTGCCTGCTACAGAGTAAGTGCTCAATAAACATCTGCCCTCCCGCCCCCCCCCCCAAACAAACCACCTCTAAGGGAACAGAGATTAAAAAGGGAAGGACGCCTAGCAGCTTCAAGATGAGGACACCCTCCGAACAGGAAAGGAAGGGAATGGAGCCTGAGGAGGGAGAGATCCAAGACGGGCTCAAGGGTATCTGAAGTACTGTAGTTGAGAAGGTGGGCTCCACGTCCAGATGGCCGAGTTCAAGTCCCGCCTTGGGCTTGGCACATCGCATGAAGGAAAAAGCAGCAAATCGGACCGTCAACGTTTAAAACTGTTCTTTGCGAGAGACCACGTGAAGAGAATGAAAAGACAAGCTACAGCCTGGGAGAAAATACCCAACAGAGGTCTATCTGGAACATCCAGACGTGTATCTAGAATATATAAAGAGGTTCCCCAAACCCAACGGCTAAAAACAATTCATTAGAACACAGGCGACAGATGCGGAACTGATATTTGGCCGAAGCGGAGACACAGATGGCAAAGAAGTACGCAAAAAGATGTTCCTCATCATTACAGCCAGTAGAGAAGCGCAAAGACCACGAGGAGACATCACTGCACCTATCAGAATGGCTAAAACAAAAGTGGTGAGAATAGCGAGGATGAAGAAAAAACAAAACAAAACACCGGATCACTCGTGCATTGTCGGTGGGAATATGGTACCGCCACTCTGGAAAAGACTATGGCAGTTTCCTTAACGGTTATGCTCACGGGCATCGATCCCAGAGGAGTGAGTGCTTACGTTCACACAAAAACCAGGACGTGAATCCTCACGGCGGCTTTATTCAAGAGAGCCCCAAACTGCAAATAACCCAAATGTCCTTCTACCTGAATGGTTACACTGTGGCCATCCATCCCACTGCAGGCTACTCAGCGATCAAAAAGAATAAACACTGATGCGTGTAGCAAGTAGGGTGGGTCTCCAGAGAACAAAGTGGAGTGCAAAAGCCAGCCTCAAAGGGTACATACTGTACAATTCCACTTAGGTAACATCCTTGATGACAAAACTATGCAGATGGAGAACAGATAAATAGTCTCCAGGGGTTAGGGAGGCAGGAGGGAGGGAAGGGGTCCTGGCTAGCAAAGGGCGGCATGAAGGATCCCAGCGAGGAACGTTCTGCAGCTTGACGGTGACCGTCACAGGGGTCCACATGTGATAACTTTGCATAGGACTAAATACACACACACATGAGTGCATGTAAAACTGTGAAACCTGATTAAGGCTGGCGGATTGTATCGATGTCAATTTCTTGGTCGTGATACTGTGCGGTCAGGTGCAACATGGAACCATCGGGGGAAACCGGGTGGAGGGATATGGGATCTTTCTGTATTTCTTCTTAAAGTTTTTTTTCAATTTTTTATTTATTTAATTTTTTTTTATTTTTGAGAGAGAGAGAGAGAGAGAGAGAGAGAGAGATGGAGCGTGAGCTGGGAAGGGGCAGAAAGAGGGAGACACAGAATCCAAAGCAGGCTCCAGGCTCTGAGCTGTTGTCAGCACAGAGCCCAATGCGGGGCTCAAACCCATGAACTGCGACATCCTGACCTGAGCTGAAGTCCGGCTCTCAACCGACTCAGCCACCCAGGCGCCCCTATATTACTTCTTAAATTGCATGCATGTCTACACGGCTCTCTAAATAAAAGAGTCATCTGGGGGTTACACATCTATTAGAATGACCTGAAAAACACCCAACAATACCGGCTGCTGGCGAGGATACGGAGTAATCAGACCTCTCATGCATTGTTGGTGTCTATATACAAATGGTAGAGCCATGGGCACCTGGGTGGCTCAGTCGGTTAAACGTCTCACTCTTGGTTTCAGCATAGGTCATGAATTCACGGTTCGGGAGTTCGAGCCCTGTGTCAGGCTCTGCACTACCAGTGAGGAACTTGCTTGGGATTCCTTCTCTCTCTGCCCCTCCCCTGCTCTCTCTCTCTCTCTCTCAAAATAAATGAATACACTTTATTTTATGTTATTTTAATTTTTTTAATGTTTATTTATTTCTGAGACAGAGAGAGACATGAGTATGAGTGAGGGAGGGGCAGAGAGAGAGGGAGACACAGAATCCGAAGCAGGCTCCAGGCTCCCAGCTGTCAGCACACAGCCCGACACGGGGCTCGAACTCAGAGACCATGAGATCATGACCTGAGCCGAAGTCGGTCTCTCAACCAACTGAGCCACCCAGGCACCCCCAAATAAATACACTTTAAAAAAAGCAACTTATTTTTTTAAAAATGGTACAGCCACTTTGAAAAAAGTTTGCAGTTTTTCGTACAGTTAGACACATACTTACCATATGACTCAGCAATCCTGCTCCTACATATTTATACAGAGCAGAATGAAAGCTTATGTTCACACAAAAATCTGTCCATGAATACACAGGCTCTATTTGTCATTGCCCAGAACCAGAAATGACCCAGCGGGAGGCTGAATAAACAAACCATGGTATACCATCAAATAGTACTCGGCAATGAAGAAGAATAAATTATGGGTACACCCATCAACAGGAATGAATTTCAAATGAACACTTCTGTGTTAAAGAATCCAGACTCAAAAGGCTACAAAGTATAGAATTCCATTTCTGATATTCTGGAAAAGGCAAAACTATCAGGATAGAGAGCAGGTCAGCGGTTGCCAGGGGCTAGGGTGGGGACAAGGGTTAATTATGAAGAAGCATGGGGACTTTTGGGGGTGATGGAAACATTTTGTACCTTGACTGTAGTGGTGATGACCCATGACTTTCTGCATTTGCCAAACCCATAGAACTGTATGTGAAAAAAAAAATGAATTTTACATTATGTAAATTATACCTCAATATTTTTAAACCAAGAAAAAAATTAGGTCGTGTAGCTTATAACTTCACGTCAATGTGTGCAGAAAGATATATGTGCAATTTAATGCAAAATGATCCAAGAGAAAATGTACATTATTTTAGCTCCTTTCTAAAAATATGCCCTCGGGGGCGCCTGGGTGGCTCAGACGGTTAAACGTCCGACTCCGGCTCAGGTCATGATCCCGCTGTTTGTGAGTTCGAGCCCCGTGTGGGGCTCTGTGCTGACAGCTCGGAGCCTGGAGCCTGCTTCCAATTCTGTGTCCCCCAGTCATGCTCTGTCTCTATCTCAAATATAGATAAACATTTAAATAAACAATAAATAAATTAATTAATTAATTTGTGCTCTGACAAAATGCTTAGGAGTTGCTTTAAGCAATGTAGGCATGATAAGCATGGTTTTTCCTAAGTGTTATTCTGCAATAAGAAAATATATTTCTTTACATGAAAAAAATTACTTAGAAAAATAAAACGATCGAAAGCACAGATGATGAGATGCTAGCGTGTATTATTTCTGGGTGGAGGACCCATGGGTATCTGAAGTTTTGGTCTGGGCGCTTTTCTCTAATACCGTCCCCTAGAGTGCCGTTTTTAGGAATTAACTTAGACATTGCATAGAAAGCGCTTAGCACAGTGCCTGAACAGCAGTAATCGCTCAAGGTAGGTCAGCTCCTCCCCATCCCCCAAATCTGGGGCTCCTCCAACCCAGCCTCCCCTGGGTGGTGCTGATCTCCCTTAGCCACACTGGGGGCTCCATGAGACTGGGCCAGGGTAGCCCCATCCCCAGCAAAAGGTGTTGACCCTCGGAGGGATGGAACGTAGTAGGCCCTCAGCACTTTGCCAGGGAGTGAATAGCCCTGCCCAGGACCTGGCAAACAGTGGGTGCCCAATAATTACTCTTTGAACAGACAACTAACCGTTACAACCATGATAGAGGCGTCCCGTCCCATCCCACCCGGCCAGGAAGAGGCTTCACCAGACATGTGGCACCAAATGGGTACATTTTTGGCTGAAGGAGCCACCTCCTCTCCACTGCACCCCAGTTTAGATTGGGACTTAAAGCCATCTCTGAAATAGGCAGAGTCTGCTCCCCGGCCTACCCCCCTTGGGCGGCCCCCTGCCCTCTCCCCTCCCAGGATGGAATCCCGAGGCCTCAGGCCGGCCGTGGAATGTTGTGTGGTTGGTTGCCCCGGCAACCAAGGCCTGCTAGGTGGCCGCCTTCGCGGAGCACAGAGCCCGCTGCCACACTGCCCTCCATCAGAACATCAGAAACCCCCAGGGCCCCCTTGGCTGGTGCAAAACTCCATCCGTGGAAAGAAAGCCCAGGGTGAATGCCGGCACAATGGCAGTGCCCTGGGAGGAATATTTCCGACTGGCCTTGCAAGAGAAACTGCCTGCGTGAGTGTCTTGGGATGGCAGGGAGGGCTGGAAGGAGGGCAGAAGCGGGCGGGATGACCCGTGCCTTCCTCTCGCCCACCGTGACGTCTGGCTTCCTTGGGCAACTCCTGCTGGGGTATTACTGTCCCCACTTCACAGAGGAAGAAACTGAGGCTCAGAGGAAACCGGTCTCTGGGCTAGTTAGGGCAGAGCTGGGTTAACAGCCTCTGCTCCGGATCCCCACCCCTGGCTGCCATCCGGCGGCTGCGATTAGATCCTCTGCACTGAGATGGGAATCCCTGCAAAGCTCTGCGCTTTCAAGGAGGACTAGAGGAAGCTTGTCGGGTGCCTGCTTTGTGCTCAGCAGTGACCGAGGGGCCCAAGCTCAGTGTCGGTCTGGACCGGACCGGTGCCGGGAAGGCCCTCCCGCTCATTCTGTTGGAGCCTCCCTTCTGCTCTCTACACAGCACCGTGGAGGGCTGTGTGCAGCACTGCGCCCTCGCCCCCCCCCCCCCCCCCCCCACCCCAGAGCATGCCTTCAGATCCCAGCCTCCTTCTGGAGCCCTCCCAGGGACGTCTGAGGGAGGCCGAACAGCCTTCCCAACGCAGCTTGGCCGCAGCAAGGAGCTGGTCTCCCCTGCGCCCCATCCAGACCTCCACCAGCACCCGCCTTCCGGCTCTGAGTTCATCCTTCTCTCCTTTCCCCCCACCCCCAATCGCGGCAGCAGCTCTGCTCTCACGCTGTAGCCCGAACCTACCCTCCTCACCTCTCCCCTACAACCACCTGACCAGCATCACACTATCTCTGTGTTATCCTGGAACCCCGTCACCGGTCTCCCGGCGGCTGCCCTGCCTCTGTTACGGCCCTTGCCCCCCACCAGCAGCCTCCAGCTCTTCCACAAACCAAGATCCTTCTCTCAGGGCCTTCGCACTGGCTGTTCCCTGCAGGTGTCCACATGCTCACTCCCCCTTGCCCTTCGCGTCTCTGCCCAGACGACCTCAGAGTCTCCTCTGAGAGACTTTTTCATCTCCCTATTGAAAGATTTCCTTTTGGGGCGCTTAGATGGCTCAGTCAGTTAAGCCTCCTACTCTTGGTTTTCGCTCAGGTTCGTGATATGGAGCCCCGTGTCAGGCTCTGCGCTGATAGCTTGGAGCCTACTTAGGATTCTCCCTCTCTCTCTACCCGTCCCCAATTCGTATGCACGCTCTCTCTCTCTCTCTCAAAATAAGTAAATAAGCTTAAAAAAAAAAAAATTCTTCCTCCCTCCCGCTGCCCCTCCACTTGTGTGCACACTTTCTCTCTTTCAAAAAAAAAAAAGGTGGGGGGCACCTGGGTGGCTCAGGTGCTTAAGCGACTGCCTTCGGCTCAGGTCATGATCTCACGGTTTGTGGGTTCGGGCCCCGCGTCAGGCTCTCTGCTGTCAGCTCGGAGCCCGCTTCTGATCCTCTGTCTCCCTCTCTCTCTCTGCCCCTCCCCTGCTCATTTTCTCTCCCTGTCTCTCTATCTCAAAAATTAACACATAATAAAAATAAAATAAAGATAAGTAAATAATAAATTTTTAAAAAGGAAAAGATTTCCTTTTGTCTGCTTAATTTTTCCTCTGAGCACCTACCTCGGCCTAGCCTTATTCATTGTTAGGTTTGTTTTCTGTGTGCTCCGCCCCCCCAGCAGCCTGGTGGCTTCCGGAAGGTGGGGATTTTGTCTGCCTTGTGCACACCTGCACCCCTCAGTGCCTGCAAAGATGCCTGGCACAGAGTAGGTGCTCGGTACAATTTATTGAACGAATTCAATAAATTCAGCAGCTAGCGTGGGGCTAATGGGGGTATTTCAGGCACTAGTGGGGCGGGGGGTTGGGGGCCCCACCTTCTGCCTCCTTCATCCCTGCCTCCTCCTGGAGCTCCTCCAGGAAGATCCCGGAGCAAAGTGTGGACCACTTCCCGCCAGTGCTGCGTCTCCTGGAGAAGAGGCAGGAGCTGGCAGACGCGGACCGAGGGCTGCGGGCCCAGAAGGAGGTGAGCCTCCACTGCAGTCCCTGAGACGTTTTGGGACCCCAGACCAAAAAAAACCACAAGTGTCCAGGTGGGGAAGCACTGAGAAGACGCTGCGGGAGCCCAGAGGAAGCCTCTATCTCCACGAAGGGGTGGTCAAGGAGGGCTTCCTGGAGGAAGTAATGTCTTGGGGATTGGGAAAGGGCAAGCGAGTCGGCTTAGCCAGTAAAGGAGGGTGGGGTGAGGAAGAAGCGGGCAGAGGGAACAGCACATACAAAACTGGAAGGCAAGGACAAAACACAGGTGGATGAACGTCTGGAAGGCAGAGTGTCAGAGGAAGCGGGTGAGATGAGGCCAGAAGGATGCTCAGGGAAGCTGGCTGCGGGAGGGCATTTGGGCTTCATCGGGGGTGGTGGGAGCCATGGGCGGGTTTGAGCAGGGGTGTGCGGACAAGCTCAGGAGCAACAGGTAAGTAGGATCCTGAAAGTACTGGATAACTTGGACCCCCAAACACACAGACACCCACTCCTCACCTCCCCCAGGTGTTCCAGACCACGAGAGCAGCGCTGAAAGGGCGCTGGGAACAGTTGGAACAGAAGGAGCAGGAGCTAAAGGGGTCCTTTGTCCGCTTTGACAAGTTCCTGCAGGTAGGTGGAGACTGCTGGGGGGAGGCAGGTCAGTGGGTCAGGGAGTCTCTATCCTGCAGGGGCAGCCTCGCTCGGGAATTTTAAAAGTGTGCTGACTAATACAAGAGGTTGTAGAGTAGGAAATACACACGCACCGCCTGTCGTATTCGAGTTTTCAAAAAGCGTGGGGGAGAGGAGAGGGACCAAAATCAGAGCTACTGCTCACTCTGCCCACGGGCCACCTGTCTGCTACCACGGCTGGGCGCGCCAAGTGTTGGGGCGGTGGAAGCAGCGAGCCCCGCGGGCTCCCGGGTCCCGAGGGCGGTCGCCTCCGCTCTGTCCGCCTCCCCAGGACACCGAGGCCCGGCGCAACCGCGCCCTGCGGAGGGCGGCCCAGGAGCGGCTCCAGGCGGACCGCCGGGAGGCGGAGGCCCTACGGCTTCGGGCCCAGTTCAAGGAGCTGCAGCGGGAGCGCGCGCGGCTGCGGTGCCGGCTGGAGCGCCTGGAGCCCTGCGCGCGCCTGCTGGGGCGAGTGCTGGAGCAGCTGCCGGAGGTGAGTACCCTGCGGAGGCTTCGGGGCTCGGCGCCCCCATGCAGCCTGGCTACCAGGTCGGGTGGCCTCTGGAAAGGTTTTGGGTGTGCACTACTGGAGCGCTGACTGTATGTCAGGAATCACCACTTATTGAGCACTGACTGTATGCCAGGGACAAGGTTTGCTCTGAATTCTCCCCAACGCCCGGTGATGTAAGTCCTGTTCTTGTCAACCGCATGGGGGAAACCCGGGTCCCCCCCCCCCATTTTTACAAACGGGGAAACTGAGGCTCAGAATGATAACTCTCACTCAGGGACACACAGGAGAAGGAGGGGGTGTGCCCAGGCACTCAATAGATACCGGTTGAACAATACATGAACACCACATGAATACTAATCACAGGCAGTGAAGTTGGCTAGGCTTTATGCTGGAGTGGGGAGGGGCGAGAGCAGTCCTCGTTTCTGGGGTAGGGGCCGTGAGATACCCTCATTTTGCACGTGGGCTAACCGAGGAGGCGCCGGAGGGCCGGATGGCGGGGGGAGGGGAGGGGGCTGCGGGCCGGCTGAGTCCCCATCTTGACCGCACCCTAGTTCCAAGAGGTCCCCGAGCTGGTGGCGCGCTTCGACGGCCTGGTCGATATGCAGGCGGCGCTGAGGCTCACGGAGCGCCAGCGGCTGGCCGAGCTGGAGGAGGCGCGCGCTCAGCTGCAGCGGCTGCGGGACGCGGGGCAGAGCGAGCTGCTCGGGCAGGGCCAGCAGCGAGTGCAGCTGCTGGAGCGCCTGGAGGCCGCGAGGGAGCGCACGCTGCGCTGGGTACGGCCGGGAGGGAGGAGGTGGGCGCCCGGGACCCCAGCCTCCCACCTCCGGAGAGGAGTGCCACGAGTGCTAAGAGCAGAAGGCAGTGGTTACCCCAGAGGGGAGCCCACGAGTGCTAAGACCAGAAGGCAATGGTTACCCCAGAGGGGTGCAGCGCTAACGGGCGGATTCCAGCATCTGAACGCGCTTCCGGACACAGGAGGCCAGTCCTAGCCCAACCTGACGCCCAATTCCTGCACTCCTCTCCCGGAGGCGCCCGGGCGCACCAGACTGGAGGGAAGGGAGGGGGCTCCCCCCACCCTCCTCAGCAGGCCCAAACCTTGATCGGGGAAGGGGGCGGGGTGTTCTGCAGGAATCCAAGTGGATTCAGATCCAGAACACGGGGGCGGAGAAGACCCTTCTCCTGGGACGCGCTAGGATAGCAGCGCTCAACCTGTTCCAGCTAGTGTGCCGGCACAAGACGCACCCGCCTGCCCTGGACATCGAGGACACTGAGGGGCAGCTGGAGCAGGTGAGCTCCCTCCTTACGTGCCCTCCAACCCCCAGATTCAGAGCTTCACAGTGCCTGAAGTCTCCGGGTTCAGTATGACCCTCTGTGATCAGGAAACACACTTCCAGCCCCCCCCCCCCCGGGGTGGGGGGGGATGTGGGCTCTGTGGCCACCTGGGAACCCTGCCTAGGCGGCTGGGTTGGTCTTGGCTCTGCGGGGCATCTGCTCTGTGGCCAGAAGCAAGCCGCCATGCCCCTCTCTGGGTCCCAGGCCTCTCACTTGCGCCCAAGGGCCGAGGTGTGTGACGATATTGTACTTTAGGCCAAGAGTCTGTCTTTCGTCCCAGGGTCAGACAGCATTAACAAGTGTGACATCAATAAGAAACCAGGTTGAGACTCACCCTTGCTCCTGGCAGGGACAGGCCTCTGCTTCCCCAGGGAGAGGGAGGGCGGGGCCGTGCCCTCGTCTTTCTGCACAAGGGCACCACCAATGGCACTGTGGCCCAAGTCGTTCAGGTTTGCAAGGTTGCAGAATATGTGACGCGGTTTACAGAGGGAGGGGGTTTCGGACCCCTCTGTTGTTCCTAATGGGGACCCAGAGCATGGTTCCTTTAAGCGGAAGAAACACAAAAGGAGGCACCCCAGCCCCTGCCACTCCTGTCCTGCGCCCAGCACCCTCGACCCCAACCAAACGCCAGGAACCGGGGCCCCGGGAGCCTACCTTTGTTCCACACCCGGAGAGGGATGGATGTCTCCAGTTCTCCCAAGTGTGGCCCAGCACCCTGCGGTGCACGACTCCAGGAGGGACAGAGGCTCAGTTAGGACGTAGCAGGCAAATGCCCGTCCCTTTTCAACCAACCCCGATTCTACCAAAGAGAAAGGCTCACTGTGGGGCGACTCTACCTTTAACCCCTGTAGTGCTCTCTGGTCTCTGGGCCCGAGCCTCACACCCCGTGGAGGCGACAGCGGCCAACCAGAATGCAGAGACTGGGTTTTGCGTTCATTGTAGCATTTTCCCAGTTGTCCTCCACTTACGACAAGGGGTAACCTAACTCTCTCCTATTTTTGTTAGAAACATAGTTTCCCTCTCTGTGACAAACGCTAAGGGAGAACCCAATGATAAGTTCCTTCAAGCTCTAGCTCTTGGCAGTGGACCCATGGGCGTTCATGAAGTTCGTATCAATAAATAAGTTTAATTAGGACAAAATCTGGGAGTGTTCGGAGAGGAGAGCAGACCAGACACAGGTGAATATGCCCGATCTGTTTAAATAGGGGGAAACGAATCGTTGCAAATAAAAGTACTTTTAATTGTAACGCAAGTGATAGCCAGCTAGGAAACTATGAGGGTACCTGCCGACAACCACAAACCATTTGGGGGGTCGGGACGGAGACCCAAAGAACCGAGAACAGCTTAGGGCAGGTTCGCCGGCTGCTGGTAACCAGCATGTTGCTGGCTTTTAATAGGGGTCTCCACCCCTAAACCCTGCGTTGCAGCATCCTGGGGTGGAGGGTGGGGACGGGACCCTCGGGGACTGGGATGGGACTCTGGCTGTGCTGGGGACCCCCAGGTGAAGCTGTTCATTCTGGACCTCTCTGCCATGCTGGCCAGTCTTGGGCAGGCCAAGCCCACACCTGCCTGCTAGCCCTGACCCAGGTAAGCAGGGGGACAGGGGGGCCCCCTGGAAAGGAAGTGCACACTTCCTGCGGGGTATGTGCTGAGTGGCTCTCACCAGAAAGATGGGACGGCCGTGCCCCCTGGGGCTGCCGTGGGAAGTGCATGAGAGGTATACAGCAAGAACTAAATAAATGTGGGCTAGCTGGGGGGCACCAGTCCCTCATCCACCACATGGCCTGGCACCGGGTCCTGCCTCCCAGGACAGTCACGGCATTAAACAAGCTGATGTCTGTCAGGTGTTTGGAACGAAGCCTGGTGCAAATTCTGGCAAATTCTAGGCGGGTGTTTGGTGAGTAAAACAGCGTCGGCAAGAGAGCCACACAGCAAACACCCGTTCGCGGGGCGCCTGCTCACGAAGGCTCTCTTGTGGACGGGCACAGGTGAGAACCCAGCTGCCGGAGGCTGCCTTGACCGTCCCAGGACCCCAAGGCTTGGAGGGCAGAGGCCAGGACAGCTTCTGACCTCTGCGGTGCGGTGGGGAGGTGTTAACCCTTTCACAGCCGGAGGGGGAACAGCTGAGCCCTCTGCCCCCACCCCACTTCCCCTCCCCTCCCCCAGCCCATGCCCTCGCAGCTCTTCAGGCCCGTCCCTTCCAGCTCCTTGGGCCGACTGCGCTCCTGCTCCACAGGGGGTGCTTGATAAAGGTTTATTACATTAAAAATACATCACCGGGCCTTAGGCACTCAGGGCTCGGACCCGTGTGGCCGCCACCTCCAGGCTCAGGAACCACCCAGAACGCGGGGAAGCGGCAGCGGCGGGGTCGCCAACTCGGGCTTTGGCCGTCCCGACCTCGCTGGCAAACCTCCGTGCACCCTCAAAGACCGTTTAAATGTCTCGTCTTGGGCAGAGGCTGCTGGCGCTCCGTCGCCGCACGACACTCCTCACGGATGACGGCGCCCGCGGGGAGCTCCGCCAGCGCCCGGCACCGGCCAGGCGCGCGGTGTACGACAGGGGACGTCTGCCAATGTCCGCGCTTGGGCCCGGCGAGGGGCCGGGGGGCCGGGCCACCTTCCTTACATGCTCTTCCTCACCTTGCCCTTCTTGGAGCGCGCGCCCCGGCCGAAGGCGCCCTGCTGCAGCTCCTGGGCGCGGCGCCGGTTGCGGGCGGAGAGCTGCTTGAGGCCCCCACGCTGCAGGAAGCGCAACTTCTGGGCTCGGCGCCGCTGCTTCAGAATCTGCTGCTTGGTCTTGAGCTCTGAGCGCACGCGGCCCGCAGGGCCAGCTGGGGTGCGGGGCTGGGACGCGCCTGCCAGGACAGGGATCCAAGGAACTCAGCCTCCGGGATGGCTCCCGGCTCCTCCCCTTCCGGGGGCCTCCAGACCGCCCCTCGGGGGGGCCCCACTCCCGTGCTGTGCTCACTGCTGTGGCCCCAGGGTCTGGCACGTTGTAGGTGCTCAATAAAGCTTACACAGTCTGCTGCTGTGGTCAATTGCACGGAACCGCAAGCCAACCCTGCCAGGGTTCAAATCCCAGCTGGGACCTCTTGGACCTCGGGCAAGTCACTTAACTTCTCTGAGCCTCAGTTCCCCACTCTAAATGACAGATAATAGCACCTGCCTACTGGGTCCCAACGAGGAGCAGACGAGTTACTATGTGGACAGTGCTCAGAACAAGGCCTAGCCCAGAGGAAGAGCCTCCTGAGGTTAATTATCACGATTACAGATCATCCAACAAAGATTTCTTGAGCATGTGCTCTATGGCAGGCACTGGGGACCCAGCACTGGTGGACAAAGACTCCAATCCTTGTCTCCCTGGATTGCATGCCTTAGGCTTGTTAGCTTAACCTTCCTTTGGTAGCAGAGCAGTCACAGAAGGCCAGAGAGGGGAAGGGACTTGCCCAAGGTCACACAGCAAAGTGGCAGCAGCCCAGGTCAATGGCCTCACCCGGGCTGCTTTCCCAGGTCTCCAGAAGGGCACTTAGCCCCTGCCTCCTGGCTCCCCACGAAGCTCTGGGTCCCCCTCCTCTACCATGTTCCCTCTCCCTGCCTGGCTCCTCCCTTCCCACAAGAGTGACCTTTTCAGGGCTCCCACACAGATGATCATTAAGGCGGCCCCAGATGTCTCCACTGGGGCCGGGGCGCCTGACAGGGGCCCGTCACCTCCTATGGGGACAAAGCTTGGAGGGAGAACAGCTGCTCCTTCCCAAGGCCCCCAGGCCATCCTCCCCTCCCCACAAGCCGCCCGCCCGCAAGCCCAGAACAGCGGTCTGCTCCATCCCAGGTGGGCAGGGGCTGGGCAGCGAGGGTTGAGAGAGCCCAGCGGAGGCAGGGCCACATCACAGAGGCGCAGGGCGATGGAGACACAGACAGAGGCACGGAGAGGGAAGAGACATAGAGACACAGGGAGGGGGAGAGACCAACGCTGGGAGATGTGTGTGTAGAGAGAGGAACAGAAACAATGAGGGAGACAGCACGAGACAGAGAGGACAGAGAACAACCGAGAGATGCAAAGAAAGCAGACAGAGAAAGAATGAAGAGAGACAGGAGCAGGGACAGGGATCTAGAGTCACAGACGGAAAGACAGAAACTGAGACCCAGAGAGAAGACGCTTCTGAGAAAACCACAGACAGACGGAGAGGGACGGACAGGGGAGGCCCAGCCCAGGAGGAGGAGTGCCGACAGAGAGGGAGCACAGCCTCCAGGAGGCCCGGAGTGAGGATGGGGACGAGTCTAGCAGCTGGGACATGGAACAGGGCCCGGATGCAGAGGCACCCAAGAGGCAGTGACCAGCCCTGCGGGGTTGCGGGGAGGCCTTGGATGGGAGCACCCAGGCCGGGTCGCTGCCCTCGCCTAGAAGACGTTGTATCTTCTCGCCCCCAGGTCACATGTGGTGTGCCCAGCATAGAGGCCATTCCCCCAGAGCAAGGGGGAGCCCTCTGACAGCAAGCTCACTCCCAGAGGTGGGGGCAGCACGGGGGCCATCGCCCCTCAGGCCGTGGCAGGGGTCCTGAGTGCTGCCACCAGGTGGCCTTTCTGCCCCACGGGGCCGACCCGGCCCTGGCGTGCAGGGCAGCTGACCACGCTGTGCCTGGGGAGCGCAGGCCCTGCCGACACAGCCCGTTCAAATCCCACTGCAGCCTGGCGCCGGCCCAAGGGCTCAGGCCCCGATCAAAGAGAATCAAATGCCCAGATGATCCAATGGGCCACTTGCCACTCTGTTCTGAGGACTGTCCTACCTTGGCCTCTGCCCCGTTTCCCCCCTCTTCGCTCTGGGCCTCGCTGCTGGGATGCCCCTTCGTCCTCTGAGTCACGATCATCGACTTTCTGCTTCTGTTTCCACTTCCGGTAGCTGGGAAACGGTGTTAAGGAGGCTGCGTGCTGGACCCTGGTGCCCTAGACACCTACGTAGCAGGTCCTGCCCGGCTGGCAGACACAGGTCCCACCTCTGGGGGGCGGGGGCAGCAGGAGCCGCTTGGCCCCACCCCCTGGGCCCCACCCCCGACCCAGCTCCCACCTCCAGGGGACGCTCGATAGAAGCCGCTTGGCCCCACCCCCCGGCCCCACCCCCTGGATACAGGTCCCGTTTGTAGGAGCTGCTGATGTAGTGGCCACTCTCCGTCTTGATCTTCTTCTTGTCTTCCTGGCCTGACTGTCCCACAAAGCGCTTCTTCTTACGGTCCCTGCGGGAGAGGGACTTGGGAGGGCTGCCATGGAGGGAGGGGGCCGGGGCGGCCCGCTTGCCCTCGGCGCCTGTTTCCACCCCAGCCCTCTCACTGCGTGGCTGAGAGGACTCAAGGGAGGCAGCGTGCCTGTGCCTAGCACGCAGCAAGTGCTCAGTAAAGGCCTGTTCCCTGCCCCTCCTCGTCTCTTCCTGGCAGCCCAGGTGTGGGGTCACCGGGAACTGGGTGGCCTGGAACAGTGTTAGGGGCCCCTCTGGGAGGGTTCCCAATCCTACTCTGCCACCTCCTGGCTCTGCGACCCTGGGTGGGGTCCTATCACTCCTCTGGAACCAGAGTCCAAACGGGAGAAATGGGTCACGAGCTCTGTCTAGAAAGACGAGCTGGCAAAAAGGACAGATGGGTCAAGATGGATCATACCCTGTTGTGTATGATGAAATTCAGG